GATTCTGTTGCTGTAGCTACCACTCTTTTGGTGTGTTTCTAATTATTCCAATTCTCACCTCGATTCTTTTGCGAGTTTGGAGCCTGCCCGGCAAACTTTTGTTGGGGCACTCATAGCGCTAATGAGTTCTGTGTCTACAACCAAATATCATCCCTTTTTTCCTACGGAAAAAAGGAAGGTCCTCATTACGCGTCCTCACAATCAGCCACACCGTCAGCATACGCCACCGTCTTGATTTCGTCCGGTTAACCGGGCAGCTTCGAACTTCATCATAACCCAGATTCCACAACCGGTCCAAAAACCAACCTCTGTAGGACCCGAGCAGTAATCCGCCTCTGTCGCCTCTTCGCCCATAGTGATCTCTTGTATGGATATGACGATAGTGTTTAGAGTAAGCAGAGCGGGATTTTCTATTGCATTGATGTATTGACTGTATTCTCGACACCTAGCATCATTAAAAGAAAGAAGTTCGCCGTCTGAAGAGTTTTGAATATTGCCTATATGCCAAACTAAGCACCCTTTTTGTAGCCTCTTTCATAGATTTCTCCTCGATACTAAGCGTTTGATAGTGTCTGTTTCTGTTAAACAAAGTTTTTCCGACAGAATTTTCTTCATTGCTTTTTCTGTCGTGTTAAACAGGAGCTTTGATTTATACGATAAATCACCTGACTAATACTTCCGTGCAGCTCTTCCAATCTTGAGCCCTTATGCTTCTCTAAATCGATTTTGACTCTCACCAGCGTTGATGTATACGACTCTTCGGAAGCTCCCGAGTACCCGGTCGATTATATGCACGCCAGTAGTTTGTAATGACGCGGACACTTACGACTGCCCTACGGCTGTATTCAGTACATAGCTGGCATAGCTTAATTAACGCAACGTAAAACTTTTCAAATTCGAACCTTCATTTCAATTTCTTTTATCGTATGGAAAATTCTCTCTCATTTAATACATCTTTTTATTTCAAACCTAACCTTTCGAATTAACCATACTCCTTCTTCATTAAATTCTCCTCTATTTCCCCTTTCCGCTCACGTTTTACTCTACTAACTCCATAGACTATGCTTCTCGGCCCTTGCCTCATAGCCTACCAGTCGGTTCATTCGAGGCCCCTCATACATCAGTCTTCTGGGTGTGATCATTCGGTCTGCCTGCAACGTTCTCGTTCACAGCTCACTCTTTTTACCGTTATTATTATTATATACTATTTTTCCAAAAATTCTCGTCGAGTTCCTGCGACTTTCCTAGTTATCTATATTATTAGACAATTTAGATATGGGTATAACAGCTTGGCTACCTCACTGCAGCAGCGTTATAAATAAAATAAATGTCCTTTGAATCTTTTCATAGGATGTGTTAATTTTGGAGCTTTTTTTCAGATTATATATAGTATATACCATTTTCTATATGGTTATTTTTCCGAGATGGTTCGATAATTTTCGAGTCACCTTGGATAGTTCCTTCGTTTTCGTTCCCAGTTGCCTACGCCCATGTCATCGAACAGTGACAAGGAAATTCGATCTGAGTTTCCGATGTCAGGATCGAGGCATAATGCCACTTCGAAAACGTGCATATTTTGTAGATCGAAGTCTCTCGATGGTGCATTCAAGGCTTCGCATTGAGTAAGTCTCGCCGCGGAAGCTATATAGTTATACTGATCCGATAGTAACATAGTAATAACATAGGTGCTATATGATAGAAAAAAAAAAGGGTACATCAAGTTCATGCTAACGGTTCCAGCAAGAGCACGCTTGCAAGCGCACCTATATGTATACGACCTCTCCGCACGTTTCTGTTGTAGTTTTTGGCAACGTTAGCACCGCAAAACAAACGAAACGCACAACAGCATCCTCGGTTGAAGCGCTACAGCCTGAGTGATATACGGGGGTGACACTGCTACGTGACTTGAGTAGCATTAGCATCTAAACAATGATATGGTCATAGCAGTTGGAGTAAAGCAAGCAACGGAGGAAAGTCTGTCTTTTTCAGACAGAGATAATCGTACAGCACTAAACAAAATGGATAAAAGCACACTGAATCAGACCCAACCACATAATACCATAAACGGAAAGTGGTAAAGCAACGCTAATAATACCAGACATCGTTGTCTCGCTTTTCTTGTCACCTGTGTCCTGCTGTGAACCAGTTCAAAGTCGCGCTGGTAGACAAACGCCGTAAGTTTACGCCACAGGATACAGACTAAGGGGAGAAGAAGGCGACGTCCTACCTTGGAACAAACCTGAAAGGACATTCTGTGAAATGTAGAAAGCAACACTGATTTGTTGGAACCGGCTCAAAACAAAGTCCAAAAGACGATTTCCTCCGTCCGTCTACAAACGGGATGATTACGCACATGATCTTTTTCGTTTAGTATATATTAGAAACGTTGTAACATAGCGCTGAAAGTGATATTCGCAGGACATCTGCTAGTAATCCTTTACGTCCTGTTGTTTTCCAGATCCTGCACTAACCTCGATTGTTTTCTATGGGAAGAGAATCCAAAGTCCACTCGAAATTCTACGAATAAAGACAAACTAACGGTCCTTCATCTGCCCGCGCTGGTTCGAGGCAGATTCCAGAGAGCAAATGAACACGATAACAATATTTATTGATATATTTAGCCGCTTTATCTATCCACACTTATCTTGAGATATATTAATTTTGATTGTTTGATAAGTAGCACAATCTATACGAGTGTTTAGAAGTTCATGAAACATTCGCAAGTCTTTCTTCGAAACTTTTGGAAAATTCTTGAAGTTCAAAAGTGGTCGATTTTTAAAAGGTTCAAGATTTTAAAGATCTCTTTTCTCAAGTTTGCCAAACAAATCGTTTCCTATTATTTTTTTTCTGAGCAAAAGAAATGTGAAATAGCACGAATGGAAAGCTCAAAAGAAGGGTGATTGCTAGTATCGGCGTTCAGATAAATCCCTGCAACTACAATTTAACTTCCAGGGCTAATCTTTAGAATGTCAGGACCGCCATGATGGCTTACTCACTAAGCGATGATGACACGTTACGGTGTGATATTTACTACGAAACGATGAAGCACAATACCCGCAAGTGCATATACTAAGAGTTAGTTACCCATTATCCTCTCCTCCTTGATATCGTTCGTCGAATTTTTGTACCTGTTTTTTGCGATGGTTTTTATATTTCCATTATATAACTTAGCGCTGACTAGTTTTCTAGTAGGCAAGTACAGAGTATCCAAAAATGATCATACCCAGGAAGACTGTTTTACCGTCACTTTCGATCCGACCTTTTCAGTAGATGAGAAATTCTTTTGAACTATAATAGACATTTGAGATCTGTGGCAAGCGTGAAAGTCCAAATGATCGTGACGTATTGAACGCAATAAAGCATACGTAAACCTGGAGAAAACTCATAAAGATCTGCAATAGTTTGCAAGGATTCCGCTAAGGCTACTAATAAAATTAGATGCCGTCAGGTTCCTAACGGCAGGTCCTTGACTGATCATAAAATCTCACAATATGTCCATCTGCATCTGGTGTAGTTACTGATATCTGGGGGATTATTTACCGTTAATCAAGAAACAGCGAACTGTACATTTACCCCCAATCGTACATCTAAAGCTTAGATATCAACTAGTAAGCTAGCTCTATGAAGTGTCTCACGTTCGAAGCTTTCGATTTCTTCCCAGAGGAGCAGACTTTGAAAAACACAAGATGATCTTAGTAAACATCGATATCCACAAAATTTCAATAATAAACATATATAGCAAACTCTGATACGGTTCGAGACCTTTGTAAACGTCAGAAAACTCTCTCTCTCTCTCTCTCTCTAAGGGAAGCGAATAATATTTAATAATAGTATTATCACCTATCCTTTATGCGACGCTCAAGCTCAGAAGGAAAACTTCAACACGGATCCAAATGCTATTAGTATCACTAAGGCATCAACCAATTGGCAAGGATCATACAATTGAAATTAATCTAGTCAAAGTATTAGATACATATATAGTTACCGGCTGAAGCTTACTCGCTTGAGTCAATAGTTATTATTAACTAACAACATTGAAAAATAGTAAAAAAATTATGTCTAATAATAGATATAATAATAAGTTCAAAACAAATAAGCTTGCTTTGCTAACGAGATTTAACTAGGGCTAAAGTGAATTTCACAATATGACAAAGCCCAACGACATCCTAGAGAAATACATAGAAATAGCAAGATCAGCCGTATTTTCAAGAAAACAAACTCGTCAGTAATTCTAGCGGACGGTTTCATGAAAAATGATCATTCATAAAATAAAACTGTATAGAGCCCTCATCGAGCTAAGAACGAGGCTCTTCGCCGTTGTCCAAAGCCCTCGTCGGACAGCGTACATAATACTTCCACTGGGTAAATAAATTTGATATATATCACCGATTATGATATCTGCTATAGTAGGATAAACCGATCGAGAGACAGCTTCCCAAACTTAATGAGTACCGAAAGAATGATGTAAAATGACTCGTCACTAGTAGCGTCTAGATCATCCATGACTACAACAACGAAATACACTGATCTCAACTCTAGGCCACCCTTTGTGAGGTGGCTTAGCGTAAACCATACATTTATATATACGGCGAACATACAGATTGATCTGGGGATCAGGGAAACACATCCATGGTTATTAATGTGCAATGGTAGGTTCATTAGGCTTACGGTATTCAAGGAGATACACATGACGCTCATTCTACAAATAATCCGATCGATGCGCAAGCTATGCAGCGAGAAAAAAACCTATAAAGTGAACGTTGTATTGAACTCTACATGCAAATCTATTGATTGACTGAGGCCGTATGTTCCAATTGCAAAAATCCGACAATATTATTATAACTGCTATCTTCTTTTAATGTGGAAGTATTCAGGGTTAGCAGATTTCTGTTACCGTAAGGCTTCTGTTATGCTCCGAGTGTTCAAAAGTTCGCAGCGCGGTCTCCGCCCTTTCGTCTCCCGCTGTAGACTTCAGACCAACATGGCGGGGCCCTCGGAGTTCGACGATCCGCGCCCCGGCCTCGGACGGAGGTCTTGCGAATTCAATGAGCAGCATTAACAGCTGATCACATTGCACATGTGTTTCTATCCATAATCAGCCGGGTTATTAAACAAGTATAACCATGCCAAGCACAACCACTTAGCCTATCCTCTATCCTGAGGATGTTTACCTTCCACGAATCCGGTGAGTACATTGTATTTGGATGAAAACCTGTTCTTCTTCCTGTTGCAAAACAAGAAGTATTCGAATTCGTTTGCTGACTTCTAGAAGGATACTCATGTTCAGGTTTAGTAAACGCCAGGTTTTATAAGATGGGTAGTAAGTTCCGTTACTGGATATGCGGGGTATCTTTCCGCAATCAGTGGTCATTCGTAAAAACAATTTTCGAACTATTGAAGGTGTGACCGTCACAGATTTCCAGTAACCTATTTAACTGTTTATATTGATATTTGAGCTGCCGTTCACGCCGGACTCCTTTTGCAACTCGTTCCGGTTAACTATCAGGACCAACAGTTGTGCTACGCACAATGTCCTGTTAACTGCATAAAGGCTCCGGTAGGCACACCTCCAAATTTGAACATCCGGAGTAAACAGTGCTTTCAACGTGCCAATCTATGATGGGTACTACTAGTTCTATACTTCAATGGCACTGCTCCCACTGTCGCGCTATAAATACGACTGAAAACACCCGCTGCGTGGCCTGCCGGCAGCCTCGGGCACCTCGTGGGGATCACGAGCGACCTCCCCCAGCTGTTCCGTCGAGAAAAGAACGTCGCGATCGACCACCGCAGGGTAAAATTATCAGTAGGAGACGAATTTTGGCCGAAAGCAACAAAAACAAGCTGGGAACTGCTTTAGAAGAACGACACCTGTATGATGACGCGGAAGGTTGCGACCCGCCGCCGGTTCCGGCTCACAAAAAAGTCCAGGATCCGCAACATGTATATGCTGAAGTGGTAGAAGATGACGAACACGAATACGACGAGTACGTTAGTTATGCTATTCTTGAATATCCGGAACCACCACGATCGACCCAACAGACCGCAGCAGTAACAGACGAACCAATTTACGGTACGTTCTATTTTTTTGTTATTTATTTTGTCAGTAGGTATTAAATAGTGTTTCAGACGTTCAGGGGGAGTTAGGCCCTAATGATTGGTTAGACAGACGTTAATTTACCTGTTCGTCGAAGATGAACTTCCATATGCGGCCAATAAGTATACGCCTTACATATAGTGTAGAACACTCCCATATTTATAGTTGCAACATAAATCTTCGCAAATATCGCATCTTCACTATCGTCAATGATTATTATGAATTAAGTATATTCTATCAGCATCTACCGTGCTTCCTCTGAAAGCATTGTAATTAGGGTACAATGCTAATATAGACAATCTACTTCCAGTTATTTATACATTTGGAGTCGAACTCAATTCTTTAGCATAACAGTGCCCGTAAAGTAAAACTGATACCTTTTTCCAGTGGATTATCCATTATATTTAGTAATTCTATCATTAAAAAGCAATAACTGCTGACCAAGCCGTAACATCATTTGTAGAACAAAAAAAATGATAGGCGAAACCTAGGCAAGCTGGCCGACTACGACTGTCATTACTAGGCTACGTATTAACCATCAGGTAACCTAGCCGTCGTATCCAGCTGCCTCAAAATTTGGACTCGCCGTATGCTGTTCACCTTTATGAAGTAGCTTTTTTCGACACGTATATGACCACATCAGACTGGATCAGGTTGATCTGTTCAGGGGCATTGTTGGAAGACTTGCTAGGCGTGCATGTATCCAAAGCACATCTTCGCATTACCTTCCAGGCATTGTTAATAAAGTAGGAAAGAAGCCTCCCCCACCCCCGCCGCATCTTCACGCGGCAGCATCGGTGTGTATCAGTCTGAGAAATGAACCCGAAGCTGTGTACTATTCGCAAGTGGAAGATGGCGCGCTACCCTGTCCCGACCTGGATATCGACATCGACAATCTTCCACCACCTTTGCCCCCACACAAAGAGGAGCTCTCGCTTACAACGGATGCCCGCAAATGGTACGCCAGCTCAATTCATTTTTATAGACGATCTGAGGAGCGATTTTCGTCGAGCAGCTTCAAACGTATTCTCCCTCCTTTGGTGTACAATGTTGGCGTGTTATGTCTGACAGTGTAACTAGCAGTTGTTAAATCTACAGAAACAGCAATGCAGTCAGGCTGTGTTTATATACGGAGCCAGACGATGACAGTGCGTGTTGAATCAATGGTTCGTACCAACTTCGAGTTGAATAGGCCATTTATGACACCTGCGCCATTCTGTGTATACTAATAATCAGTAACAAAGACATGGCGCCAACGTTTCCCCTTTGTGCTCGTATTGCTTCGCGGTTTGGGAGGAATACAGTACGTCATATGCATAGGATGCGTTTATTCCCCCGTATGCCACAGTTAAAATCTTAGTCGCCATCTGTGTCTTGAGAACTACTAGAGGGCCAGTAATGAGAACGGTTAAGACACGAGTCTAGATAATGCACGCAAAGTACGGTGGCTTTTAGAACGACTATACTTTATTTTGGTAATTGATACTGAAAAAATTATGTCCGAGTTAGGTATCTGCAACGTTCATATGACGTCTGATTCCCCTGTTTTTCTCCATGCAGGTATTGTCTCAACTGTCGAATTTGGAATACGGCACAAGATTCTTCGTGCGTCTATTGTGCGATGCCATATAGCGACGATGTTGTTGCTACTGGAACGGGGCTGCATTAGCCTAAAACAGATCCCGACTCGTCGTTGACGTGACTTCAAACTAGGAATTCAGCAAAAGGACTAAGAAAATAATCTATAACATAGCGGAAAGTCCGGTTATATATGTAACGAAACAAACCACCTGACCAAAACGGATTCAAAGAAAATAAACTATATTTGGTTCCAAAATGTGGCTGTTGTTTGGCATCGTATAACCCGTATAATATGAACAAATTCGACCATCTAGCCAAAGAAGAAACAACGATGTAAATAAATCAGTTAATAACGGATGAACAGAGAAGTACATCGTACATGATCATAACACTATCAACGCTTTTTTTTTTGGGTACATAAAGTAATGAAATTTGTAAATTATCCACAACTTACAAACGATAAGTTAGTAGCCTGACGGAACGCATTGCTGTGCGCGAGAAAAGTTAAGGGACTGAGCATATGTTAAGCTGATTCTGAAGAAGAGCGGCTGGTTTAGTAAAATCGTGTGGTACTTCTGCTTCAGTTTCAGCATAACCTGAAACGCATTAGTTCGTCGAAGGCCAGTCTCTCATTCATGCACATTTATAGTCACTATCTATGTAAAACAAATGTTTGTTATTCCTTATAATATATTATATATCACACCGACCGACCGACTGAGTGGGTTTCTTTTATCTTCAAATGAGAAAACAAATGCCAAACATAGAATTCAATTGAAGTACGTGAGTACTTACAGAACAGATACTGTATTATTACAGTTAAATAAACGAAATTCATAACAAAGCCGCAAGATACTACCAATAAATTCAGCGATCTTTTAGTTGAAACAATCTTCTACTAATTGTGAAATAATAATCAATTAAAAAAAAATTAATATCAATATTACAACAAAAACTACGCGACGATATAAGACTATGCTTGTGTTTACTATAGATGTCTTTGCAAAAAGGATATCTTGTCAGGTATATATGGCAGAGCATTAGCGCAAGGAATAGAAGCCAGTCTATTATTAGTGGGCCTAATTTATTAGTTTTTAGAGACATCAGCTCTACTTAATCAAATCCATCGAAAAATGGGGAACCCGTCTGTAACGAGTTTGGGCTATGAGTGCACTGGATCACAGCAGGGTGACTACTGCTTAAGGATCCATGAACTGCCTAGGTCCTGGTACATCGATGCCTTTTCGTTCGAATAGGTGGAGCATTGATCTTGCCCATGATGAAAGATGGTGTCATCATCCGGCTTAATAATAAACGTAACAGGCCCTTTCAGAAAATATATTACAAGGAAAAACAGCATGCAGCATTAAGTAGGAGCTCTAGTGTATATACATGAATATACCTGGCTAGGAAAGCCTATTCCAAAGTCTATTTTTTTAGAAGCGTTAAGACACCTGGGAGCCTAACGAAGTTCTCAGTAGCGAGTAACAGCCACGCTTCAATCGACGCTTATCCTCTACATAATATTAGTATATTTCGGTGAAATATTACAAAAATAATATATTAAAAATAATAATTCAAAGACTACAACTTACTTCTCTGGCATGTATAGCGCTAAATATTAAAGGCATATATAGGAACTCGCAATGATACGTCTGTGTTTGGAAGCAGCATTGACATACGCGTGTCTCATATAGTGAAAACGTTTGTTCTCAAGCGGCCATATCATTATGGCTAAATGCATTGAAATCTTGACTCTTCGAGAAGAGCACTCATCTAATAATTCCCATGGCATATTTCGAGGTTGAGGTCGAGGTGCTGCCTTCGTTTGTCTACAAAGAGTTTAAAAGCTCTACTTCAGTTGCGTCTAAGCGCCTATTGAACGTTCCTTTGGGCAAGACTTCGTGAACAGACAAAACAATTTGTCTTTCCATTTTGTCTGAAGTTGAAACATTTTCTCCAGACAGCTGGATCTAGCCAAAAAATAACTCGATTCGAAAGTATTTATTCTCATTGGTGGACCAAGCAATGACCTTTATCAGAGCACGTTGCACTTCCGACCAGAGCGCAAACGGTACAAGAAAACCAACTGATACTGAGCCACTCGTTAGAATCGTAGAATTGCAACAATTAAGATAACAGGATTAGTAACGGCAATGAAATAGTCGTACCATAGGTAGTGCAGTAATCAACAAAATGAACGTCGATACATGCACCAGTTTGCTGTACGGTACTCTCCGATGAGAGCTCGTAGACCCTCACCGAACGAGCAACTACCCGCAACGGACCAGGCGGCTCTTGGCCTATCCTAAATTCTTTCCTCTCTTCATCATCAATCAAATCAGTAGCCTTGGCTGTCTGTCGCATTAGGTTACGTGTACAGGACACGTGGGCTGACAACGACCGCTTACATATTGCAGGTCTCAGTGGTATTACTTTGTACATAGTAATCGCATCAAGGCCCACCATGCCATTCGATTCATTCTAGTTCGTCGTAGTCCACATGAACAATCAGAGTAAAAAAAAATCAATCTCGGTCACTCCTATATTAATCAGCGAGTTTATAACTTGACATTATGCTAGATTTCAACAGAGTGCCATATAATTTAATGCATTCTAGCGCAGTACTCTCAATGAATAATGATAGTGCCTAGTTTAATAAGGGTGCCCTATATAGACGGCTAAGCCCGTCGAAATCGCCAACTTTTTTAGGTGTAAAGCCCACCATTGGGGGACCTCACAGGTTTAGAAGAGGGTCGTATCTCACTTTTTAGCTTTCAGCCTACCTAGCTTTCCCTTTCTCACTTTTCGTATCTTGCTTCTCCTGCATTAGCTGCCATACCTTTGTACAATCTTTGCACTTGATTTATAACGTTTATATAAAAAAAAATATTTATTTCTGATTAAAATATGTTTGCAGTCTAGTTAGAATATTATATCCTATTGCAAAAATTACATATACAACAACTGCAGCAACGATTTTTAAGGATTTTCTGTGATTGTGTATTTTACTGTTTTACGGTGGGGAGGCAAAGCTAACGTGGGCCAAGCTCACTTTTACCGTATATACGACGTTCCACTGTAATCAATGATTATTGTAACAGATAAGATTCCAACAACTGGACTGAATTAAAAAACACCTTTATTTACATAGAACATATGGATATTGTATAGTACGCATATGTGACTATAGCTATATATATGTTATTGTTGTATAAGTTATCTATACTTACTTAGGAAGACTGGCAATGCTGTTGATGAGTTTTTTTTTTCAGTGACTTTGTAATTAATTATTTAGCTTTTGCAAGTATCTAAAGCTTGAATCAATTAAATTGGGTAATCATTGTTCAAGTAATGAGCTCCTAGTCAAATTAAACACTACGTAAATAGCGAAACATCATGACAACAGATTGGACTGTAACAGACTCATTCATCTCAGCCTCCTCTTATACTATCAAATCATAACACGATTATCAGATGAAACTTTTAGAAGGCAGATTTACTAGAGTCTGGCTTGTCCATTTGTCCAGAGATATCCATTTGAAGAATTTTCTAAGCTACATGTGAATCTATTCGTGTATGAAAGGTTTAGGCGAACTCATCGATTGAGATCGTAATTCAGACGTAAAGAGAAGATTGCAAAAATCAGAGAAACATCTAAAACCTTTGTGAAGAGAGAGCCGCCGGTGTATTTCAAAGGCGTAAAAGATTTTTACCCATGCACTGGTAGTAGGTCTAAAGGCTCAAAACTAACTGGATCACTTAAAGCTAGGACTTCTAATTCATTTAGACCTACATAAAGAAAATACTTGTTTGTGATTCCTTTCATTTCTGCAAACTTCCTCAACAATAACGCTGATTACATATCAATCCAACAGAAAAAAAAAAAAAACTCTAAAATACAAAATTGCAATAATCAAAGGCAGCGTAACCCCATAGCTTTCTAAAATTGAGCGGTACCTTATGTAAACCACTATTTTCTGTTTTTTTTTTTTTCGAAACGCCTGATTGTTTTTAACTTATCGGTCATAATACCTGTATTCAATAAAGTGGCTAAGTTGAAGAGCTCAGAACTACTGAGGGTCAATAGTTTAGAGAAGTTTATTGGTGCTCATCTCTGTGAGGAACAAAGAGGACTTCGACTGTATATGTTTAGACTTTGACGTATTCACTCATTAGCAGATTTCGCAATCTAAACATTGACTCACTTACATGCAACTTGATGTCAAATTATTTTCCAAGCAATACAAAACAAAGGCGTTCATGGCTGCCACCCATGAGATGACTCGTTTTTAATCTAGACATTAAAAATGCTACTTTATGAAGCATTTCTCCTTAATAATATGCTGATGATCATACGAATGCGCTTAAAATTCGAACACTCTCGCTATACTATAGATAGATTGTTACATGATTCGTGGAAAAAACCGAAAAGCTGTGTTCTTTCCAATGTGTTGTACTCTAATCCAAATATTATTATTTGAAAGGACGCTTGACGTATAAAGCATTAGCGTCACCATCACCATTTTTTATACATATTACATATATTATTCTTATTATCGTCAGGCCAAACAACTTTAAGACTATTATTTTGTCTTACTACATTATTTTTAGTAGGACTTTGATAAAAAAAAAAAAAAAGAAGCATAAATAATGGAACAAAACTTTCACCGATCTTTAAACCGTACGAAACAATAATTTTGCACCAGCACTAAAAATAAATAACGACGTAGTTTCTCTGGAATGAAATACATAGCTAGCTATGAGCGATAATATCTAAATATTATATTCTATATTTCACAATATAGTTAGTTGTCTAATAATCCTACAGTAACAAAGGTGAACGGGCTGCGCAAGTTGAAAGAACCCGATCTGTCTGTCCGTCATGACATGATCATTTTCCTTTTGTCCCATAGATTCGCTGCGTCCAGATGTCAGCACGTCCATATTTCGTTGCTGCAGAGCTGGTCTTCGTGTCGCACAGAGCCACACAGTATTTGCTATAGCCCGTCCACAGGTTGAATTTTCGCGCCCAACGAAACGTGAATGGCAATTTGCCAAGACACTTTATTTCCATCAGTTCGTCTACTGACTAATCAAAAACAAAGCATCACAACAAGCGATACTAGACTGCACATTTTATTAAGGCTGAAATATCCTGCACGTTACAGAGAAGTGTAAATTTTAAAGCTGGTCAATCCACAGCAAAATTGATCCCGCATTAGTTAGCAATGCCTGAGGCAATTTTCAAATTCGTATGGGTATCATCTTGGTGCAGGTCCAAGGAGCATGGCCATCTGACAAGCTATCTTTGCTTTTTAGTCGTGGAAAATACAGAGCGCAGCTATCTTTCTGTTGTTTTTGCAGTAAACAACGAAAACAGTCAGCTTTGGCTATTTCGGGCGATGTTGTCCCACAATACTGTTTCCAATATGGTACAATTTGGATATATCATCTTATTACGCTGACACGCCAAGTTACCAAGACGCTATTTTTCGCGATAGAATATACAAAGCTTGCAACCCATGCCACTTGAATTATAGGCAGGCTGGATTTAATACTTCGTTAACATTTAACCGTTAAGTTTCACAAGAAAACGAAGCTCTCGCATGATTCTTTTCCTGTTTGTCCGGATAAGAATTAAGCATAAGAATATCCTATTTCTCCTTCTATAGCTTTACCTTAGAGCAGCTTCTACTAGGAATTGATCTGCTCAGGGTTTTAGGTCGGTATTTATAATGGCCAAGTTATGCGATGGTCAGGGTCGAACTCACCCCATGTATATCGTTTGGTATATTCATAGTGAAATACATCAGACATTTCGAGCAACAGCGTGACTTTCGCAAAAGGGGTATTAGTCTGCCCGTCTTTAACGTATATGGCACAACAGGTCTGTGGTAAAATGTTCAACGTGAACAGAACCAATAATTGACTGGTGTTTTGTAATTCGCTTACATCAGAAGGAATATATAAACTAGACCCCATATACTACGGAGTCGAATATTGTTAGACCTCGTATATCACACCTGTTTCGACACTGAGCAACACCCGCAATGCTCGAAGTGGGACAAGCCACTACGTACCATTACCGCCGCTGTCGTTTTTGTTTCTAATTATATAGTATCGTCGTGACGTCACTCAATTTCTATCTAAAAGCTACTATCCTATAGTCAAGCGTTGTTAAAAACTCTTCCATTTTAGAATAGTTGCCCAAAGTTGCAACCTGGTGGGAGCGGTCACCGCCCATTGTTGCAATATAACATGCTCATGTTAATGTACTGTTTGTAGCTTACCGAATTTCGTCACAAATTACAAAGAATGTTTACGAGCCCCTTTATCGACTCAGCCAGTCCGATGCTTTGGATTTTCCATCTTAGTACCCTCCGTATGTCAAACAAAGGGGCCAAGTCAATGAAAGCCAAAATGTCTGTGGGCAAATTTTATACTGCAGATGATCTTCTTGGAAGCCTTAGTCGCCTCGCAAAGCAGCTAACAACTGTGAACGATGACACTGAAACAACTGTCTTAAGCAAGATTTTTCTAAGGATGAAAATGAACTAGGAAATCACAGTAAGGTTGGGTAGTACGTGATCAATGCCAAGCTGGAGGTGCGAAAATACATTGAGAGCAGCTTCAAATTCGCGGCCGTTTAAAGGTCTGTGTTGACCTCGAAACAATAAAAATTATCATTTCAATGAAAGGTCTAATGGTAACTGCCAGACGTACAAAGTAACAGCTCGCGTATTCCCACGCGTATTCACAGTTCTTGGCTGCAGCCGCGATATTCCAGCAAGTAGGAACGCCGCCGGTCAATCAAGCTAATCTGTCCATCCGCCATCTTAGTTTAAAACCAATGCAATATGAAACGGCATTCGTAATGATCACGAGAGGATTGAGAGCGTATATATATGTATGTTATGGGTGTGTAGTACGTAGCAAATATGAGGCTATTTACGACATGTTGTTGCATTTAGTCATCCGCTTGGGCCAATATAAGTGCCCCTGTTTAGATGAGAACAGTTTGTGGCCTACAATATAGCCTAATCTACCACCTTTTTGGAGAATCGTAGAACAGTATATACGGAATTGATTTCTTTGCCTTGGGCCAAGAAAAAAAAATGAGCTTTGTGAAATAAATGGGTACTATACTAAGCTATTATTTTCTCTATTATTGTAAAAAACGCCTTCCATTACTGTATCGATATATACGATGATAATAAGGATAAAAAGGAGTGTGATTATTAGGAAATCCTATTAGTTAGATAGATATGTTTGTGCGTCGGGTCGCTACAAGGTATTCGTCACATATTTCTGTCGAAAAAAACCTTTGCACGAAGCTATTGTAGTAAACAGCTTTAATGGACTATAAAGTATAAATATCATAAGTTTTGTTGACGGATTTGGAGGAAGTTCAATTATTGGAAGTCGAAGGTAAACCCCTAAAACTTCCATAAATGTTACACGGGAAATGCGAAATTTCATATTTTTCTTTATCATACGCTCTCGTGGAGTCGTGTAGAGGAAATGTTTGTGTGTCTATTGATAGATTAAAAATTATTAGCGAATATGTTTATACCAATTCGATTAAAAAACCTGTTATTTCTACAGTTTTTTTTTTATTTGTTACGCTAAATATAAAAAAGAAACAATATATCGACTACAGAGCCACGTTGCCTCTAACAAAAATCTCCTTTCATCGGTACGAGCTATTTGTGTGGGCTGGGTCCGACCACGTACTTCGTGACTGATTGAGCTACTTAACTGATGAAGCTATGCCTGCACATAACACCACATAAAAAAAATAAGTAACGAGACATAAATGTATTGTGCAATATTTACAACCTTTTATTTATCGTAATCAGTAACTGACTCCACACGTAACATAGAATAGCTACGAGCTCGTGATCAGCTCTTAGAGAAAGTCAGTGTTGTGCCGATTGGTAAATGAGCGCTACTCTCACGTTCGATTATTTTCTGTGCAGCATCTACGGAGGAGGTGTAAATACTCTTTTCGGGCATTGTTTTGTTTTTCTACTTTCTATAATCGGATTTGTTTTCGCACGTTGATATCCCTACCATCGAATCCAGCAGCACTCAGAACTGTGAAAATTATTCATGCTCGCCAACAACATCTAGATACCTGGTAACGGAATTTCAAATACTGGCTGGCTTCCTATGAGAGCCTATTATGGATATCAACGTCTGCGTCTTCATATGTAAATTACACTTCCTGATTGCTAATGTTTTTCATCCACAGTTCGTTCCGTGGTAAACTAATGCGATTATACATTTTTATCTGTAACTTCATATCGTTACCTATAACTTCAATATTATTAAAAAAGTACTGTCTGACCTTTTCGTCCGAGATGCCTCTCAACTAATTTTACTCATAACTATGTAGATCTTAGGCATCTTTGTTTTTTTCTTTATCATATCTAAATTTACCATATCCATACATTCCGTTTTCTTATTATTGTCCCATTGTTTGTTTACAATTATGCTCGCTCATGATCGAGCGTTATTCCTTAAGACATGGTATCTGGCCCAATGACCAGCGCAAAAACTTTCCACTCCTGACCACGGTGCATCCCGTACAGGTATATATATGGACTTGATAGAAAAAAACATCTTTATATGGCTTTTGTGTTATTATTAATACTTTTATGAATGTTCAATAAAATTTAAAATTACAACACACGAACCGTCATCAATAGTAATTCATTGCTACCATTAACATCATAATCATGTATGCATTTCTGTGCAGTCTTCGTTTGCGTATCGATAAATGCTACGTTATCGGTATCTAGTCCAACGCCTAGACAAGACACGCTCGAAAAAAGAACAATCTTTGTCACTAAAGGTAACACTATATTCACCGTAGGGATAATGGTTTTTTAACTCTACTTTCGATATCTATCCGACGAAACTAATCTCGTATGCTTCTAGTTTCTCGGTATATCAGATCCTTTCAAAAACCCTTAAGGCCTTAAAACCGTTTAATTGAACTTTCAAGCTTTGGCCCGCACTCTACTTATTCCGTTTTTTGCTTTTCTAGCAACAATTACAACAACAACAACAACAACAATAATAACCGCAACAGCTTCGGAGTCCCGTCGGCTCAACAATGATGCTGATGAGCACTCATGCTTGCGCCTAGGTGATGATTCTTACCTGTTGGTGATGTAGTGTGGCTAGACGTGGAAGGTCGATATACCGCTACTTCAACGACTGTGACGGTAATAACCTGATAAAGGTTGTCGCTACGGCTTTCAGCTAATCCTAGTTATTACATTGATATAATACCTTGTAAAATACCTCTATTTAAATCAGTCCCAGTTTGTTCTTGTAGCTGTTGCACATTGATCCATTTTTCTAGCTCTACTAAGTGCCTAATAAATGCTCATTTATAAAGATGAAAAAGCAGCGGATTCGACAAGTTAACATATCCGTTATAAATAAAAGTCTATAAAAATAACACTCTCAGAGGAAAGAGTTGTCTCAATACAACGCATACTTGTAGACGAATATATGGCGTATTTCAGATAAACCATCTAGTTACTTCAGTTCTTTGTATATATATATATATATATATATATATATATATATATATATATATATATATATATACATATTATATTGGACAGTTCCCGGTCAAAATGTGCCCTTTCGTATAGCTTTTAACGCAGTTGCTCAACTTAATATATACGGAAAAGTCTTCCGAATGTGATTTTTACAAAAATGAGTAAAATATTTTGTTCGTATCCGCGTACACTACACCGCGAATAACACTACGTTCATAACAGAAAAACAAATAGCAACCTTAATTAGAAAATAACATTCGGGTTTTTTAAGTGAGCCCAATAAATCTAATCCAGCTAGAAACTGGTCTGACTGGACGTTAAGCCAATTATCTACCTCTATATCTCTCCCATTCTCCATCAGCGATAAAGCCCAACATCCATCCATAGCCCCTGCAGATATAGCAGCCTGATACAGTTGGGCGAAATCCGTAAAACGATAGGGCCACTAAGTGGTCATTGCCACTTTAACCCAACCAAAATGGCCCTGTCAGTGGTGCCAAATGATCGATTGTGCGTCGCTAATCAATCGAGTTGCTTTTTTTGCACGACCTCCTTTCTTTCCTTTTGTTTCACTCTCTCAGTAATAATTAGCCACTTGTTCGGATCAAGATGTTTTATCTGTTAATCGCGTTGACTTTGTAACTTAATGGCAGCATACAACATTACTATATCCATAATGATTCATCATTACAAACTAAAACAAGATCTATTAAATGTATATAACATATATTAAAGAACTAAAACAGAGATGTTTCAGAACCCAGTGCTACAACAACGATATGATTCTCTGCTGCACGCTAAAATCGTGCTTATGACCGAGCACTGACTTGATTTGGAAGAACTGGGGGATTCACCGGTTTAAACTGGGCCTGCTGCTGTTGCTGCTGTTGTATATTTGCATTTGCTTGAATATGAGGTTGCTGGAATGCTTGCTGTTGTGACGACGCTTGTTGATTTAGTTGCTGTTGTTGTTGCCTCACTTGGTTTAACTGTCCTTGCTGCTGCTGCTGCTGCTGCTGCTGTTGTTGATGCTGTCGAGATGAGCTTGCGGTATTGAATTGCTGCGAAGGAGCATTATAGTGCTGAGCTCCTCCCTGGTTATACTGCTGGGACTGGTGCTGAGTAGGAAGAAGCTGCTCGTTGATATTGTTTTGTACCTGGTTAGGCTGGGGTGCAGCAGCTAGCGCGTTGCCAACCGTCACTTTCGGAGGAGGGAGTCCCTGCGGCGGATGCTGCGGAAGTTGTTGGTACGAGTTGGGGTTCATCTGGTGCCCCACCGGAGCTGCAACGGGCATTTGCGGATTGATACCCTGATGTCCCATAGACGGTAGCGCTTGCGGTGGCTGGCCGTAATCGCCGTGTTGTTGATAAACCTGTTGTCCCATAGTTGGATTAACTTGTGCAACGCCTTGGGGCATGTAAGCCACCCGTTGGCCTTGTGGGTAGCCCATTTGGGGTATTGCCTGCAATGGCTCCAGTCAAATTAATAAACCTCTTTATCAAAGCCCAGCAAGCATTACAGAATCAGTAGTGGGATGTTTATTGAGGCCCATCACCAAAACAATTTGGCCGTTGTTCTAGTTCGCTCCAGACAGCGAATCTGAGAACAGGGAAGTGAAATATTCCTTACCTGTTGGTATCCATGCGGAGGGCCCTGAGGAGCCCCATATCCTGGGTGATACTGAACATTCGGAGGATCTCCTGGATGATAGCCGTAGCCCTGAGCCTAAAAATATATTAAACAAATGTTCAAGTGATACTTATTGACAAAATCATGTTACAGTTATAATCAGAACCCAATGGCTTGCGAAGTGTATTCTAAACATTTTTACGTTCAGATTTTTTTCTAAAGTTCATTTTACGTTTTAATATCTTTGATTTATCGTGCTCTCGGGCCCCGCAATATGATCCATAGCCCTCCGTGTTCAGGTCCACAGATTTAAAGTGCGATGTTTAGGAAAATAATATGCAACGAAACATAATTATGTTACTCTTTTTGAAGAAATTATAGCGTAATTAGAATGGCTACGGAAGAAATGTGACATGAGCATGCACAATAGAGTATTACTGGTTCTTGTAAACTGACCATCGCCATTTGCATCTGCTGTTCCCGCATTTGCATAAATCTTTGTAGCTCTTCCTGTGTGTAAATTTGCTGCTCATCTAATCCTTTCCAGCCGTTGTCCTGTTCAAATTCCTGCGTTCGTGTCATGTCGAGAAATTCCTGCCTCGAAATCAGACCATCTTTGTCTTTGTCGACTTCTTTGAAGACGTGTTCACGCATTCTGTTTACCTCTTCCTCCATTTCCTGCAAAATGGCACATGGGCAAACGGCACACAACACCGTGCGATAGGTACAAGGCAAAGACTATAACAAACAGATCAAAAGCGGCCAAGCAAGCTCGAGGGAAAAATTAATAAAGGACATTTCACAAAAATAAATTGGGGGTCTTACTTATACTCATGTTCTAAAACAGCTTGGCAGAATTACATACTTTCCAACCAGTTTTCACACTGAATGATAACCATATTCAACACTGGCTATTATCAAGAGTGTTGTCCTTCACGAATAAAAACAGTTATCATCTATTCAATTAGATACTTCGGAATTTCTCCTTTTAATTTCCGTAATTAGAATGTAGCGTAATTTCTTTCGGGTGAGTAACAAAAGATATTGAATACATCGCATACTGATCTTCTTTCATGGAATTTTTATCCAGAGATTGACACCGAAAACGAAAAGGTCTTTCAAAAAAAGGAAACAGTTGATTTCGAAAGACGTGGGAAAGTTAATTATAACCATATTATGTGTCATTGTTTAGTGTCATTCTATTAAGCAACAGTTAACGTATTGACCAGCTGAAGCGTGGACAACGGGAGAAAAGGTTGGGAAATGACTGAAAAAAAAATAATAACAAAATTATAAGCACAGGTTAAACGTGCAACAACAGTTGTAGTCCGTGCAAAATGAATGTAACGCAAGGGATTATAACTTACCGTTTGCCTCTGAAAATTCAAAAAAAAAGAAAGGACAAAAGCAAAACACAACAGAAACCACAAGAACAATAATATAATCGTAACACCGCCTATACTAAGGCAACTACAGTCAATGACATCGACTTACAGAATATGCAGTTTCATACCATATATGTTAATAATTACCTATAAAGTCCTCGAAAATAGACAACCTATTTTATTATCACGGCGATCCAAGTTCACAAAAAACAGCAGAAACAATTTTCTTTATCAGCAGGGTTCTTCATAACGCGGAACTCGAGAATGTAAAGTTTACATATGAGAAAACTAATTTTCAGATGTAGAAATACATGAACGAATCCCAGCCCCGGACAGCTCCCGATCTTAGTGTTCCGCCCGACAAGCAAAGCGTCGAGATAACGAAGTGCCTAGGTATCGCTCACGGATAGGATTTTTTTCTGGTTTTTATTTGTTTTTCATATTAATTTATGTCCTTCAAACTGATCCCAAATGTTTCAGGACACCTACATATTTATGTGTTTAATTAAATACTCTTAACGGAAATAAAATATAGTGAAATATCCTAAAAACGTAATTTACTTTTCTCTGACAAAACGATGTCCTGGGTAATCTTTTTTGGATAAAATTAGAAACCACTCAATACATATGAGAATCGGCTTTTAAAAACTTAGGTGACAGGTGTCAGAAGTGAAAAAAGCTAAATCGAATCTGGAATGTTTTGCCTTATACGGGGGCATTAACAAAACATTTGTTAGCTTCTCTAAAATAGTAAATAAATTATAATGCGAACATAAAAGTATTAGGGAGAACATATTGTATCCCAATTGCTTGTCTACTTTTGGGTTAGGTTTATAACCAAATTAAAGGATAAAGCATTTTTGATGTTCTTAAACCTTTTTACCAAGCCCAATATAATATTAGGGTAGCAGTGCAACCCATTTAAAGCGCTGATTCCACAATTACTTCCTAGAAACGGAAAATAGACAAGTAGTGATTTTTGCCGGCAAAGAAGCGAAATTGGAGGACCAAAATTAAATGACGAGATCGATCATAATAGAAAAATTCCAATAGGTGAACATGAGCTTAGTAACGCGAAGTCAACATCGCCGATGTATTCTGTGATAAGTCGATTCGATGCAAACATATTGAACTTTTAATGCAAAGGCGTTGCACAAAAATCCCGATCTAAAGCTTTAAAGTTTAACTGACACAACCAATTGTGCGACACAGACTTCATAGTAAGAAGAAAAATGTTTGTTTTTTCCGTGAACATGTTGCGAATGCCAATACTTACCCTGGGATCGCCAGGATTTTGAGGGTCAGACATGTACATCTTCTTGGCTTCGAGCTGAAGGATCGCTTCGACTTCCTGCTCGTCAAGCACACCATCGCCATTAAGGTCGTGCATTGCGAAGAACGTCTTCGGATCAAAATCTTGCTTTTCCATGTGATCCTCTTCCTCCCACACTTGCTCTAGTTGAGCCTGTATTTAATCAGTAGAAATCAGAACGTAGTGGACACTGGGTTAGTGACAGTAAAACAAACACATACGCAACAAAATGTGAGAGCTTTAATTCAAAAGTAAAGCCAAAATGGCTTCGATGTGCATATGTATATATAGAGTGTAGCACCTAAATTAGGACAAATCTTAACGTGTTGTTTATTATAATGGACATGCGTTCATCTGATACCGTCCCTCAGGTACCAGGCGAAAGCCAGCCCTTTCTGCTTCACAATAGCAAACTCATCCTGATAAAAAACAGAATGTTGTTTTCATAATTTGAGCTAAGATCAGTTATTATTCAGTCTACCACTCCCACCGAGATTATGAATTCTTTAGGCCTTTCCAAACTGATAGTGTTCTGCGTAAATAAATATGCGATTGCAGAAGAAGTTGAAAAAATTTCCAATATAGCACAATGAAAAATCCACGTCAAACAAAAAAAAGATATTACGGAAGTTGATTGCTGCCGCTAGAACGTGCATTTCTGATGATCCTTTTGTTTCGATAGAGGCATCAGTGGAACCAGATGTAAGTGGACGTACGATGTTGTGGATTGTTCACGAAGAACAATAATGTTTAGATTTGACGGGTGTAATTTGGCGCTCAGTCCCGTCAAGAAAAAAGTAGTAGGAAGATTTTTCTCTGAAAATGCTTTTTTACACTGAATGCAAAAATAGTCACTACCAGGTTTACGATCCAAAGGACGTGCCTATTGTCGTTAGAAGCAAATTTTTGGGCGAACTTCAGCTTCTGAGTATCGTGTCCAGTGCCATCATATCTCTTTTAGAAAAACAAATGCTTTATTAAAGAAGTTAGTTCGCATCGATGTTTTTCGACCATCGATAGCTGAATTGTTTGAAGGAAGACAACACACGGCGTAAGCACTAAATTGAAGCTAAAATAGTGCTTATACTTACTAAGCAGAAATACTTCTAGCGCATATGAAACATTTTGTTAAAATATCTGTCTTTGTTTGAACACAGTCTTGGGCAATTAAGCAAGAAAACTCCAATTTAGGTGCCGAACTCTAAATGTATATATACAGTGGCCGGGGTATGTGATAGCAGCAACGTACCTTACTTCCAGGATGGTGTGCTTGGGGATGTTTCCGATGCTTTTCATCTTCGTGTTTTTTCTGCTCGATATTTTTCTGATCTTCGGTCATATTCTTAAGACCCTGTTGAAATTCAAATTCCTTTTCCATCTCGTACTGTTTAAATTCAGCTTTACGAGCTTCATCTAGTTTTTCAAGGTCGCGTGTTGCCTTCGAAACAGATTCACAGTCATAGTTCATTGCTAACGGTATATTCTTAATCGATTCCATTTATAGGGTCGGATTTAGCGAAAGTACCGTCTATTATGCCCAATTCTATGACTATGAAACGGATAAAAACATTTCCATGGCATCAAGCAGAAATTTCGCCGTGGTACCATCGTAGCATCCATGGCATCGAGCAGAATTTTGCAACCTCGTATTTAGGCAGTCGGTGGCTTAGAACACCAATTTAAAGTAGATATAAAAAAAAAAAAGTACTAACTGACACTGAAATATGTTATTAAGCCATTCGTTCCACCATTTATCATTCAATGAACAGTCTTTTGCTTTAAAAGTGATCTTTCTAACATACAACACGGTATATCCTGGCGGTAACTCCTGTTGACTGTATAGTAGGAACCGCGCATCTCTATAAACAGCTATATAAAACAGCTAGTGAACAAGCACCAAAAAAACGACGGTAATAAAAGGAGCATTGTCACTAAAAGTTCGTTTTACTTCATAAAAATGTTTTCAAGTCAACATGTTGTTGATTTCGAAAAATGCATTTGTCCAAACATTTTTCTAGCCGTATAGTGCTAACTACTGAGAAAGCGGCCTCAGACCTGATTGCTATCTCAAAATAATAGTGCTGGCAGTAAAATGAGGAACCTGTATGCCCGAATTACACTTACTTATTTTAGTACTTATAATTATACCTATGATAAGGTGATGGATCAGATTAACATTTACAACATTGGTAACCTTCCTTTGCTCGTTTAATTAAAAAATTCACTTCGGTAAGCCTCGACCCATCGCCTGAAACAAACTGTTTATTAGAGCTCTCTCTTCACCGTTTCCTTCTGTCAGATTGGTAAGTGATTTCTTTGCCACCAGGAAAATACACTTACAGCGAGGATTAGCTTCTTCAGATCTTCAATTTCGAATGTGTGCTGATTGTCGTGATCCAGATGGTCGTTGATTAATTTGTCACGATCAAGACCTAAAATACAAAAGAATTTGTTTCAATGTTTATTAAGTAAAGCACAATGACGTACGCTTAGACTGGCATCACGCAATCACGGACCCAACTATTATCTTTTAGAGGTACCTGCACACGCCATCATTGTCCATAAACGTATGCCAACAAATGCCTGTTCGCTAGGAAATACGACATGTAAAATACGCGGGTGAATGCTAAATATAATATAAAAAAAATTTCGCATAAAATATAATTACTGTTTGAATATATCACGATTAGTAACGAAATTGTCGTTAATGAAGGACAAAATCGCTAATTAAACAGGTACACAAGTTTATACAATTTCGGCATAATACACACAACTAAATAAAAAGATCACACAAAGGATATTCTACATTGCTTTTTCACCAACCCAGGAGAGCTAAATCATCGTGGATTTTGTTAGTATTCCATTCTAGTACCGAATCGGACATAAACGGTCGGAGACCGTGTGCTTAGAAACTGTTCGTTTAAAAGGGATTTAATGCCTCATTAAAAGGATTATTTTGATAAAATACAATATATTACTTTTATCATTTGAAACTAAGTCTAAGCTATCGGGCTTAAATCCAGAAAAATTAAATTTAGAGCAAAATGTAACTTTAATATACTTTTTTTATTGCTTTTTCATCTGAGAGCTAATTCTTTTTATAGGTTACATTAGAATTTAATTTAGTTTTTTTCGTAAAGTTCGTAGAGTTTTTCCGTTATGTGACAGAAAATTATAAGGCTAAAACTCGTATTGCTAAAAAATAGTTCAACGCCTATCATGAAATAGTTCGATTTCAACCCTTAGAGACAGCTGCCAACAAATTTCTTACTTTAATTTCCGGAAACTTTCCGGTACGTCGCGCATTAACAAGCAGTTATATATATATATATATATTTTTTTTTAAATAATACTCAAATAACCAAAGCGAAGTGAGTAAACTTATACGAAAAAAAAGAACGGATAACACAGCCCTTCTTTCTATTTAAATTACCAACCAGCAAAACGCATATTGTAATAAACACAGAAATACTATACATTCATTCCAGTCATCTGGTAAAGTTATCGATAACATTTGATGATGATATAAAGTTAGTCTTTAGCGTATCTGCGGTTAAAGTTTCGAAAACCAATTCGCGAGAGAATGATCAAACAAATAAAAAAAAATATGAGAAATAGCTGCGGCAACAACCTCGACCGAGAAGTAAAGAACACAGAGTAGCGAACATCGTCAAAAAAGTAACTGCGGTACGTATTAAATAAAAGACATGATGAAAGACTTCTATTGACAATGCAACGAAGTTAGAAAGAAGTTCATTGTTAGGTTACCTTTTTTTGGCACCGACCTCCAGAGTCGGCCGTCTCGGTATACGCCTTCCGTTCAAGCAGCACAAACGCCAAGCGACCACCATAGAAATGTTAGTTATCATTTTAACATTTTCATTGATTCGCCATTAGCACTTACCAACGGAACTTACTCTCAAATAATATACAAATTAAAAATGGAATAAGGGCTAAGCGACGCTAATATCGCTTGATATTGTGTTTAGCAATGGATTAAGCAATCTGATTGCTAAGCATAAAACTGGCAGAGAAAAGTGCTTACCAACTTATAGAAGTTGGCATTGACTCAGGTCACTTGAGCTCAAACACCAGCGATGTGTTTGGTAGAAGAAAAAGATCTATTTATAAAGGATCTATTTTTCATTGATTTACCCGACTACGCTTATCGAGTCAGTTTTAAGTTATGTTCCTAGTTCACGGAACGACAAGTCAAAAAACTAAGTGTCTGGCAATAAAAAGAACCGAAATTACTGATTTATGATTAGAGTCCTAACAAAAAGCATACGAACCTGGGATGAAGTTAAAAAAAAAACTGAAAAACATCATATTTAATTTTTTTTTTGGTATTTAATCACAGGTCAGGTGCTGTTGGCATGTACGAGTCTTGATGTTTAAAATTATATAATTAAACAGTCGAATCGTAATATGCTGTTCATGGAAAACTGTTCATAAAGACTACCGTTTCTAAGCTCAATTCTCGTCCTTTCCCAACGTCCTTTCGCCGCAAACTTCTCCCACAATCTCCGAAAACCAATAAAAATTAATATATTACAAATATATGCTTTTTAAGATAGAGTGCTATACTTTTAAGTTACGGTGAACCAAATGCGAGGTTGTGGTATCTATACCAGTCGAACATGGAACACAGACAATTATGGTTAAAGGCTCAAATGAAGTAAACGTAATTACTGTGTAAACATGCCTAGAAGGTCAGAGTCTCTGTTAGTGTAAGTTCCTTTTTTATTGATGACGAGTAAATTAACTTACCATGCTCAAGTTCATTCTTTTTTTGAGTCAACTTCCGCAAGCGGTCTACCTCGATCCTTTTAAGTTCATCCAATTTTGTCCGAACTTTATGGTCAACTAAATCAAGATGCGTTGCAATTTGTCCATTCTGAAACCAAACAGTTTCTTGTCAGCTATAGACATGGATACGGAAATAGACTTCTGGTGTAACTAATGAGCAAGGGTATGTGCTTGTGCGGAAATGGAAACACCCTAGACAAAATAAATCATGCCTTAAACATAGTCAATTTCGGCATCGATTCCGTTTGAAATTGACAAGTCATCATTAAAAGTTAACCGGTTTAACCTCTTAGGAGTAAATTTGGCGCTAAAATAGAGAAATCGAGTAACTCGGTTTAAACACTCAAAGCATTTCTAGAAATAAGGAATCATGTTATGCAAGGACTAGCACAGTTGTAAACGGGCTAAAATCAATTGGATATCTTAGTATAGAGAGATTGTACCATTCCTTCAGGTTCGATACAATAATATATCACAAGAATAAACTTTGATGTATATAATAGAATTCGAGAAATATGATCAAAGAACGGTTGTAATACATAGTTTCGTATAATAATCCCTAAAGAAAAATTCTTAAAAATCAATAAGGCATGTATATCTAAGATTTTGTGGGATTTACAAACAACTGAGAAGCTTACTCTAATGTCCGCCTCTGATACGTTTTCAAGTTTCTTGGCAAACTCCTTATCAGTTTCCAAAATTTTCACAACCTCCGCCAGGTAACGGCCATATTCGAGATTCTGGAAGATAAACAATTCCGATAAGTAGTACTGAAAAGCTTTGCCTAAAACTATGATATCTGATTTTACTCGACTGCGAGGTATCGTCCTTGTTAATATAACTGTTTGGTTTTGGAACAAAAAGATTGTAGGAAAAGTATATTTTTCTCTCTGCAAACTAATATTCAACTGTCAAATTCTGGTCTAGCTGATCAATTACAACATAAAGAAATAGAAATTATAATCTTTAAGCCAATACGATGAATAAGATTTACGATGAACGTTGCCAAGAAGTTACTTCAAGCGACCATCATTCAAGACTCCATCGCCTTCTAGCCGCTGCATCAAAATTCCGTTGTGCATTTACCAAAATGTTTAACAGAGCACCGTTACGATGTTTCTATTACAGTCTTAAGAAGCATAATATTCTTGATATTCACCAAAGGACTTCTTGATAAGGCGAGCGACAGCTATTTAGTACTGTTCCTTATTATTAAGCAGTTTGCTTTGAGTTGTGGAATTACGCTTCAGTAACTGATAATAAGGGTGGCCATATAAAATCATATTACATTCAAAAATAGGTTAACAAATTGAAAATTTTAGTTAAACTATCGATACAAATTTTTCAAATGTTTCCATAAAAACAGATAGCTCCATTGACTAGTAGCAGATGACGTGTTCATCAATATTCAAATAGAAGAAAATTAGAGACTGCGAAAACTTTTGCTCACAGATGATTAAATGATAGATGTAATGAAACTGGTCTACTAAGGGAGTTGCCATTAATTATCAGATACTAATACGAGAACTTGGAACGAGAGCAAAGACCTTTTCCACTACTCATTATTTACAAAGTCATAAATCAGCCGAAACAGCTCCACATTTCACTTACTCTAGAATTCTTAATTTTCGCGAGGAGTAATCAGCTTTCGAAATGAATTACATGGTAGGTCATGAAGATGTAACGAATTTCTACATTTGAGTCGAATTAAAGGCATGACACACGATACACAAGATCGAAGTATTTTTTTTTTTAAATATCTGGAAGGCTCTATTTAACTTCAATGTTAAATAAAAGTACTATTGACTCATTTCTTAGCATATAGTGATAATCTTTTTTTTTTTTGCAAAAAATTGAAGCTTAACTAAGAACGAAATGTAGTAATATAGATGTGCTTTATTGTTTAAAAAAAAACTTCCACTGCCTGCTAAGAATAAGACATCGAATGTGTAATCCTAAATTAATCAAGTATTTTCAAAGCATTTAAGCACACTTACAAAAGCGGGGTCTGTCTCATTATTGACGTTATGCGGAGTCCCAGTATTTTGTGCAGGGACCTTGTTACTATTTGGATCTACCGGGGGACAGACAATTGTGCCTAGTATAGCCGATACAACTAAAAATCCACCGAAAAACCGCTTCTTATAAGATGCTCTTTTCTCTGAGCCCATGATTATTTGAGCAAATAAAGCTGTCGTTCTCCGATGCCCTTTCACCTGTAATTTAAGATAGCAGAGTCTTAATTAATATCATACTTATTACTGAACTAATGAATGTAACGTCGTTGACACATAAAATATACGTTGGATTTCATCATACTATGTGAAGGTCAAAAATTTTCCATTGCTGAATAGCACTACATTCGACCCATGACTAAATAAGAAGTACGTCGCTGCTACAAAAGTGACTTATGCCCCCCTCCCCCCCTCGTCAACAAAAGGACAAAGGGTTGAGCGCTGAGAAAATAGATCTCTCAAAAAAGCATATAAATCGCGCAGAAACGATATGTATCTAGTATATATATTTAGTAATTGACGTAAACGGAAATGTTTTTTTGATAACTGATGAAATTACGTTATCACTGCTGTGTGTCCGACGTAGTCTTTTTTATAACGTAGAAAATTACGTCGCATCCAAACAAAGTCTTTGAATAGGATGATTTAATTGTTGATGAAGGTTTCTGCATGAACTATAACATTTGTTAACATAGAAATGAGAGGGCACACACTGGTGTATAGAAGAAGTAATATGTCTACGTAAAGCAACCAGGAATCACTGGAGGGATTGACTAAGCATATTGAAGCAAGTATCAGGTTTTGTCTGTTGTCGAGAGGCTCATTTGAAAAAACAGGATTGACGTTATTGCCTTCTATGCAATTTTACAGGCATATAGTTAAATCGCACTTATCAAGCTGATACAAAAAGGAAAAGCGTAGACCTATTTTTAAATTGACACTCACGTGGGAACTACCACATGACAAAATACCTAATATGTGACTGAATGAAAAAGGAAAATGGACTCATAATATAAATGTATAAGCCACTTTTTGTGTATGACGAAATATCTTTTTACGTAAAAAAGGCCTATTTGGACTGACAATTTACAGCACTATATATATGTATATATGTGCCATGCACTCCGATAAAAGAGGGTCAAAGGCCAAATAAGGCTGATAAAAAATTGGCGCTAATTGAGCCAAGGGTAGGTAATGTATCAAAGTATATTGGCATCTTTTGCACTAAACAGAGTTTGGTTTTTGAATATGGTACTTTTATTCTTTTCGAATCATGTTAGTAGAAAAACTATCGAAAAAGTTATTTTGGGGATACAATATGCTATGATTGAACTGCGATTAGATTGGAAAAAGATGATCGTGTGAATTATGAAAAAAAATCGTTTACTAGCTACTACAAAAAGCTTTTCTTATTACAGTTCTTTAAATATCTAATTTCGTAAAAGTACGTAATCTTTTATCTCAAATACCATAAACAAGAACTATTGAACTTTGCATTATTTAAGGACTATTTCTCACTCAGCCTTTTTGCTGTGCCTGGCATATTGTGCACTCCGGCTATTTGGACAAAGTTACACACGTATCTACAACGTAAACGACTTCACACAACATTGCAATTACTTATAAAATTGGCCTAATCAATTCAGGCACTTAATAATTTACGCCAAATAGTGGTTCTCGATAGAGGAATTTTCAGGAAGGTATTATGAAAGTTACTATTTGTTTAATCTAATTTTAATGCTAATAAGTTATCTGCAGAGCAGTTTAGCTGCGGGAAAAGGTGTCAGTACTCCCTATAGTACACGTCCGGAATCGTTTTTCAGATACATTGACACAGAAGTTAAGCAGGCTAAAGGAGGCACGAGCATGATGAAAGCAAATCGCTAACTGCCGCAATTGCGGAAATGATCACAAGCTTAAACCCATATGAGTACTTATATGGGAATTTTACAGTATCGGTAGGTCTTCCGCATCGATGAACTGGCAAACATATGGTCCACTACCATTGGCTGTGCGACTCAATGCTTGCATTCGTATCTTCAAGCGACCGGTTTTCATTGATAGTCAACTTGATGTCGTGTGCACGCTTTTAATGCCGCTAAACTCAAGCATCCCTTGTACTTCAACATAGAAACTTTGGATAAGAACAACTCACCATGGGAGAAAATGCAAAATAGTAATTAAAAACTCCGCCACTTCACACGGAACCCGTGAAGTAAAACACACACACACATAGGAACAAACGTTATACATCAGCAGCAAAGAGACCACCTCTTGGAAACTACGTGGATCTCTCCTGTCAGCTGGCCACAGTTGAGGAGACAAAAATAGACTGTGGCTCCCAGTTAAAAAGTACGCCGGAATGAAGCGTTTGCGGCAGACACCGTTTTCACATCGAACAACTGGACCTGTTTTTAGATCCTGCCTGCGCTGTTTTGGATAACTAAGTAATAAATTGGTCTCATCAACGCACAAACATGAATAACTAGCAAATGTAACGTTGTTTGGTGTGAGGAGTCGCGATCTTCGTTTAGTGCTAAAGATGTGAATTTTAGCAGGGCGCGAAAAATTCAGGTGATCTTTAAACGTAGTTTCGATGGGTTCCAGGTTCTGTACAGATGCAATTCTGCACCAGTTCATATTTAGATAATTGACAACGCTTGCAAAATATGGGGTGGCTCGAGTCCCGATGATTTAACTGAGGGCATGCAAAGCAATTGTCGTCCTCCAGATCGAAGGAATCTAAAATAGCAATGACCTTAATTATAGAAATGATTATTAGAATACCGTGTTCAAATATATATAACACATCAGATAAGTCGCCGAAGTTCATGCTCAATGGGCGTGTTGCTGCATTGAAAACTTATTTTTTGTCTTGTTTGATAATACTGGAAAAACGCAAGCATATTGTGTAGCGTCTGCGCGAATGTCTAGTACTACACCTTTTTAAAGTAGGTACTGATCTAAACAAATTTGGGCTAAACATTCTCCATTATATATATGAAAGTATTATCTCCCGCTAATCTCCCAGCTCTGCTTTTGGTATTCAAGCTATGTCATATTTAAAAGCTGCATTAGGTTAGATCTAGAGCTCTCTTTTTATTATAATTATGTTACTGTCTTAAATACTTGTGTACAATAGCATATCGTAAATTTGAAACAAAACTTTTTATGTTATTAGGTAATACGGCGCTTTAAATGATCGCACGAACTTCAATAGTCGCTATTCGGTCTTCTGCTGCGTTTAAAAGAAGCATAAACATTCTTTGTGAATTTGAACTTGCCATGAGTTTAATGCTACGAATATTATGATACTTCTCGCTGAAAGTTCATATTTCATTAACTTGACAAAGTCCCGAAGTACATTTTCACTGGAGAAAGCTGAGTAAATGACATTCGACAGCTCACGTTTTTTGGTTGCAGCTGGAGGAAACGATAATTATAAATACTTGGATATTAGAGTGTGGATTTTGCTTCGCGCGTCCGCCTTATTCATACACAGTAAGCCTGTGATATAGAGACAACATTGCATACCTATAGAATTGATGCAATGTCAGGCATCCTCTGTACTACGAATTTCTATACCAAGGAACAACAACAGATATGGCAAGCTAATTGGGACGCGTATATACGTTGAGCTTAATGCTCGGCCGCGTTTCCTTTTTTATTTAACTGATTTGATATCACTTACATTTAGCTTAGCTTAGACTAAAGGTTGAATAATTTGCCATTCCATTGTGAGCTTACACTTTTAGGGTTGCCATTCTTCTAAGATCGTACCATAGTAATGCCGGTTCTCCGTCGCAGTAATTCTACTCACTATTCAAATGCATCGTAGTTACCCAGCTTTACGTATACGGTTTTCCTAGGGAATATTTCAGTAATCCTTCTGCCATTTAAATCATCAGCCTACTATCATGTTTGCTTTGAGTCGCACTTAATCCCTAGCATAAACTCAACGCCCTGTTACACCCTGTTTTCCCATTTCAGTAAATTCTACCACCCGGAAAAGTACTCAGCCAACCGAAGAACATGCCTACATGGTTAGATTATATATATAAACCATTTTACTTAATTGTGATAACTGCATAAACTATGAAAGATTTGTTATTATATATATATATATATATATATATATATAAAGTTTGAAGGACATAACTTTCTTTATAAGGATTATCAGTAAATCCTTCTTCACTTGTTGGCGATGAAGCGGTAGTCCATCGATCTCAAGATTGTCAGTAAATTTCGTGGCGGAATATGCAGCGTGGGCTTCTCTCGATACTAATAATGTTCCACTTAGGTGCCAAAGAATCGTTCCGTGCATGTAATGTTAATAATACCCTAGATCATTCAATTTACAGAGACTAATATGCATTTTTTAATGAATTGGTGCAAATTTTTAGGTTATAACAAAGTCACTTAGACAATTAACATTTGTCAAGAGTATCAGAAATTTCTGATTAGTTTGGAAGAGTACAATCTTATACAAAATTAGATCTTCGTGCAGCATATATGCATTAATCAGTGCATGAAAAAATCGCAAAGGTACTTGCTGATAAACGGACACCGTGGTCCACATAAATATACAAGAATGCCAGGGGCGTTACTGGGTCTGTTTCAAACTGGTAGAAAATAATAGATACTATTTTGGCCGGAATACCCGCCGTAATTGTTAAGCAAACCAAAGAAAAACACTAAGTATCCTAAGTACTCAGTTGCGCTAGACATGCATCGACAATAAAACGAAATTTATACAAACTGCTAGACAACTCTGTGCTTTCTTATATTCAAAGCATTTCGAAAAGCCAAGATGTACTATACGCGATTATTGGAGCTCGTCAACCTAAAAATAGGTCTGAATTAAGATAATTTATGGGCATAACACAATTCTACCTACGAAATAACCGATATTTCTAAACCACTATATAAATTATTTAAAAAAATAAATAAATATTTTGAACGAAATAATCCTGGCTTAAATTTCTTCAAACAGTTAAAAAATTTCATCATATATAGTCTGATTGTAATAAAAAGAAACCATTAGTTCTCGCCGCAAAAGTATCACTACTTTATAATTCTCGAATATTGTTCCATATAAAACTCCAAACGTCCCATCGCAGTTTGTTCGAGAGCATTGGGTAAAGCTCAATAAAAGTACTCTCAATGTGATAAGAAAGCTCTTGCAGTAAACAGTACATGTTCCTATCTCAATATTAAGTCATTTCTGAATCAGGCCTTTGCAGCGTTGGCCGCTCATGCAAAGGCCTTAAGAGATGGTAACTTCTGCCAGCGCTATTGTATCTACACTAAAGATCAGTTCCGGAATATTCGACAGACAGGGACCGACAGCACGACGCTAAAAACTGCCCAATGGAATTGCGAGGATACTACAACGTTAGTGCTCGTTACGCCGACGGTTTGGATGGATGTTGATATCCTCGTGCTACTCTTGTCGAATTTTACGCCATCAGCTATTTGGCTCGAAAGAGTAATGTCTCAGTACGTCCAGGTGGCGACATTTCTATGTTTCATAATCATAAAGTACGTCACCTATCATTAGGATGAGTTAAAGATAGTGTCATTGTATTACACAAACTTTGTTTTTTTTCGATATCTTCTAATCGTAAATTGCCACTAGGTCGCTCGTCTAGACAGAATCGACCCAAACTACACATCAACGCTCCGAGATAGGCCAGACTGTACTTCCTGGGTAATCAACACAGACCCGATACCGACATTTAAAGGTCGCGTTGAAATATCGGTTATCGACGTGTTTGTGACGAGATACCCGAGATAAAGGTCGCTTCTTTGGAATTTTGATTTCGGATAATTAAACTTTGCTCAGCTATGGGCAGTATTAAACTCCACCCAAAGTTCATATAGTGGTTGGGGTCACTCCTAAAAGAGTAAAAATTTTCCTGATAAAAAGACAACAAAAAATAATATGCTGTTTCCTGACAATATATGTGATGTTTATTATTCAGGATAATCGTATCAGACTACCGTACGTAGACCATTCATAAGCAGTCAGTTCGAACAATTTTTAAAACGCCGATAGTTTAGGTATCTAATGGTGCTGGAGAACGAACGGTACGTGCCACTAAAAAGTACTTGAACTACGTAAAACGCTAAGTGAGTTCTTCGTCGTGTGAATCCGACGTCTTCAGTTTCTAGCAGAAAATGCTCTATAGTAGTATTTTTCATAAAATTATCTATGAAGACACTGTCGTAAGGATTCGCAGAAATCAAATAAGAAAAAATAGGCACCGATTCCTCTAAATAAAACCGTCCTATAGAAGAAGAACACTTAAACCCCCAGGATATCTAGAACTCTTGCTCGTCCAAAAACAACTACTATCAAGTAATTTCCTTAAACTACCCATGTAAGATAATCAGTCTGTGGAAACAAAAAAGATGCCCAATTAAGTATTTTGGAACCGAACACTCAAAACAGTGCCGAAGGATATAGCGTTGCAACATTCGACTATATAACGAAATATATGAATACACAAAAGTTAAAACCAACTCATTGTTAATAGAGTTATCGAAACATACTCCATAGAGTCCATAGACCTCCATAGATTTCAGCCGATGTTCATCTTTGAGAAGTGATCTTAATGTTGCTTCCAATGACTCAAACGACGCGGGTCGAAGTTAAATTTTTTTTTTAATTTAAAAATAAAGATAAATTTCTCTTCAGTGTAAATGTGTTATATGGCGAGGCGAAACTGTATTATTCTATTAGTATCAGGCGAGAAAATTTAAGACTTCTAAATCCTAGTTCATTCTATTTCACTTGTTATTGGCCTATCGGTTGAATTTAAAGCTCATGTATTAGGAAGGTCAAAACTTGGGCAGCAGCATGATACGGCTTTCTGTATTTAACGTTTTGGTTCCGGTGTCCTCATATATTCATCGTACTGGCACGATGAGCATATTCCAATGTTGAAGCGAAAACCGAAAGTTCAGAGAAGCGCAGCGTTATGTAGAATGACCCACTGCTTTCGATAATTTTGATACGTATTTTTGTAGAACATTGACCATCTTTTATATAGGGTGATTTGGTGTTATTACCCATATGCCATGAGCCATATGTAAATTCCTGATCTACGTTTAGGTCCGGGATTTCAACTTGGCCCAGCGTCTCGCAGTTCTGTGGCAAAGGTTTTATATCCTTGTCAGGCCACACCGGAATGTAGATGTATGTCATTCTGTTTTTACCTTCTTCGCTTGCCAAATAAGCTAGAACGTTTTCGAATTTCTTCATATGA